CCTCCCCCCATGCCACCCCAAGAGAAGATGATTGCCTGGCAGAATAGAAATGTGGCCCCTCAGAGCAGGAAGGTAGAGACCCTGTGTGCAGACTGCAGAAGGCAGGCCAGAGGTACGCTGCTCCAGGTGGAGTACCACTAACCCACGGGGAGACTGTCTTACTCAAGGGGAAATGCAACGGGGTGCTCTCCACACTTCTGCTTGTTTATTCTGAGTTATTTAAAAGCCCTTCTACAAGCCTTGCTTTTCTGGAAAGAAGGATCTCAGGATAGTATTTCCTAGTGAAATGGATGCATAGGAACTGGCCTCCACCGTGACTGCTTTTTTATCTGTGTTTGCAGGGGGGATGCAGCCCATTCCTGGTCTTTGCCTGAAAGGGTGAGTAGGGAGAGCAAAAGACTGAGCATAACTAAATCTGCCTGTGGAAGGAATGGCAAACAGTTCTGCAGTACTTTGACCTTGAACACAGCTCAGGCAAACCACACTGGCTTCTATAGCTGCAAATATCTATCTATACCTGCCTCAAAGAAGAAGAAAACAGAATCTACAATCTATATATTTATTAATGGTAAGACCTCCATTTTCTACATTCTGTTTGCCATCGCTTTGCAGTGGATCATAAATCCACCGAGATCCATTGTAGAATGAGTGTGAAGGCAATATTCCAGGAAAGAACCCTACCCTGGAAGCTAATGGAATGCGTTTTTAGTGCATTTATTGAGTTTCAAATTTAAAAACTAGGGTTTTTAAGACCTCAAGCGTATGCATGCCCCCTGAAGGATGAGATGGTTGTCTATTTTGTTTATCACTGTCTCTCTAGCTGCTAGAGTTTGGCACATAGTTGGATGCATAAATGAAAACTCGAGATTTTAGCTCCATTTAATTATTGAGAAGTCCAAAACAGTATGCATGACTTTTCTGGGTTTTTTTTTTTTTAAACACAACTGCATTCTCTTACATGTTAGAACTGTAAAATCTTGTTCTTTCTTCTAAATTCATAGTTGTTGTATTGCTATTAGCTCATGAATGTTACAAATGATCCAACTGATGATGTTATATTAGTTCATGTTCACTAAGCAAACATTGTGATATAACAGCAGATGACACGTCATCTAGCTAAACAGGGTAAAAGGTAAAAATGAATCATTTTTTATAATTCAAAATCATTAACTGCATGGTGTCACTTTCCCTCCTTAGAAAATAAACAACTGAAGTACCATTGGGGGGGGGGGAAGGGTGGTGCAAAAACCTTAAAGAAATTAAATTGACAGTAGAAGAGAATCCCTGAAAAAACAATAAGGAAAATGACCTATCATTTCATTCTCCTTTAGTTTCAGCCAATTTCTAAAACTTGTTGAGAGGGATTACAAGAATAAAAGAGGCTCTAAAGAACATAAAGTAAACTTAGTAGGCACCTCAGGCACAAAATCAAATTAAAAAAAACAAAGCCTGCAACCACCAGTATCAACTCTGTGGGCCTGGCTCCCGCGAACTATAAACTGGTGTTTGCATGGGAAGGAGTAAAATAGAATTATGTTTTGGTGGGAGTCTTAACTTTTAATAGAAGGCAAATAGTATTTTGCCTGAGCATAATAATGTAATTCTCTAGATATAAGATTTGTCTTAGAAGTAGAGCAGTGATATGATATTGGCTGTAATAGCTTTTTAGCTCCTATTAGCCTGATTTTGAGTGAGCGACTTTTGTGCTCAGCCCCTCCAAACTCCTGGTTTTGCATTTTGCACTCTCTTAAGTGCTCTAGATAACTAGAGGAGACAATGTCTTAGCTGCTCCCCATCATAGTCGATCTATGCAAAAGTCAGAGGAAGATGGAAAATGTGCCGAGATGTTTACTTGGAGAAGTTGGTCCACTTACAGGAGGGGAAAAGTTGTGGCAGGTTGGCTGAAGGAGGGTAGTGGAGAGGGAGCAGGATTAAAAGAGAGAGGCTTTCAGAGGCATCTTTTTGCAGTTCCAGGAGAAAGCAGACACAATGTTTGATAGTAGTAAAAAAAAATCATGCTGAGCCATCTGTTCTTTTTTTCTTGTTCCACATAGCATATTATAGTCTTTCTGGCACTTGTAGAGGGAAGAAAAGAATGTCTTGCTAGGGGAGTGGGGGGAAACTCATTCATCCTAAAATTCACATAAAACTTTCTCCTGTGATTTATCACATTCTGACTTGTGAATCAAACACATAAGTGAGTAAAAGAAGATCATTTTCTTTCTTTTTTTCCCTAAAAAATAACACCCAGCTGTTTTCATCTTTAACTTCTCTACTATCCAGTGAACCACTTGGGTTTATGTGGCTATTGAGTGCAGCTCCCATCTACCTCAATCCCTTTTTTAATGGAAGAAAACCCAGTTATTTAGAATTATTTCTGCCTCGACCCCAAACACAGCATATACGGCAGATAACCATTATGATAGGTGTCAAATCAATTGTTGATCTAAGCTCTCTGAGGACAAGGTGCATGTCTACTTTAATGACTTATGTGCAACAGTAATATTTGTTAAATGAATAAGTGATGTGATGAACAAGGCTTTCTAGAATATTGTGTTGAAAATGACTTGAGGATAAATTCCAGACTAAATGGAAAAGAGTGACATGACTAATTATGAGGTCTGGGAAGAGATTGGGTGGGAGAATAGTGGCCATTATGTCATATGTTTATCCTTTCTGCTCTCCTGTAATAATTAGTCCACAAACATTAGCATAAAGTTGCACATTCTAGTATTTTAAAATTCATGAAGAATTTGGCTAGACATTAGGAAATTGTCTACTTAGAAAACTGTTCTTAGAGAAGTAGGATGATGAAATGTATAAATTGTGTTTCATCGACCATTACTAAAGACTACCTATCTATCTATCTATATATATTGAATATTACGAGTTCACTAGAAAAAAATCTTTATAATAAGATTGTTTTTAAGTAGCACTATGTTGAAAGTATTTTATCTTAATTTTACATAGACAGGGACTTGGATCATGTTAATTAATTTAATCATAAGATGCTTAGGGAATATTTGCCATATGCCTATAATTGTCATACTCTGAATAGAAACTCCAATTTTGTTTCCTGAGCGAGTGATACTAGCCTTATAAACACACTTTGCTGAAGTCCATTGTAGCTGTGATGTAATTCTCAATGTAACTGTTCACTTCCAAATATCTGAACATATTATGTATTTCTTATTTTCATTTTTATTTTATTAATTCTATCTAAGAAAAGTTGGCCTTATACTTCCACTTTTATAGAATACTGACTACATTGCAGATTTAATTTCATTCAGGGATATAAAACTTGTCTCTGATTACTCAGGATTGCCTCTGGGATTAATTAAATTCCAACCAGTTCTTATAGAGTGTGATTACTTAGCAGATAGTAACTGCTGTCACTTATTTACAGTTGTTGAGTATTTACTTTAGAACGCATTGTTGTGCATACAGAACTGGGGTACAGGCCAGATGTGCATGGGGTGAGAGGATTCACTAGAGACAGAGTGGGGAACAGAACAGGCAGATTGACAGAAATACACTGCTGAGGGGAGCAGCAGATGAGAGGTCTGCTGCCCCATGTGGGTCAGCTCCCTAGGCGGGGTTGGGGCGATCAAATTTGTGCTGCAGTGGCTGAGGATAATTTCATAGTGCTGAGACTTAACCCCTTATGCCATTAGAGAGACCCCTCTCAGACATTTCAATGACCTCTCTGAGTATGTATTAGTTTGCCAGTGACTCCACTTTCTGTACACTTCATGTTCCCACTCTGCCCTCACTGGCTTCCTGCGCATCTCTGACACACCACATACCCTACTAAAGATGCTCTGTCAACATAGCTGTGCCGGGTGATCACTGAGTAGTTGGCATTTTTGTCTCCTTATTTACCATACCAGCGTGGAAAAGGGTAAAAAAGAGTAACAGTCTGCAGATTTATTCACAGAGTCTCACAGCTTCCATCTGCCCCACTCTGCACCCCAGGGTGAAAAGGATATTAAATGTAAAGTGGAAATGCACAATCTCCAACCTACTCTAAAAGGTCTTGAAGCTTCTAAGGCTGCCTCATGGACATGCCATGTCGGGTGGGGCAGAGGCAGGATGGGCAATGACGGTCACATGGCTGAACAGACTTTCAAAACCTCTCAAAAGTTTCAATGGAATCATTGTGCTAGTCTCATTAAAGGGAAATTAGTGTTTCTATTCATGAAAATTCTTCTTCAAAGGAACATAGGATAAAATAGCCTATATCATGTAGGAAGAAAAAAATTAAGAAACCAGTTTAAAAAGCCCAACAAAACTCTTAGCCACACTAGCTGAATTCTTTAGACTTGAATTTCTCAGCAAATCTATGATAGTCTCTGATATTGCTTGAGTAATGTCTAGACTCCTCCAGTTTAATATGCCAGTTTCCTTCAACTCAGCACACTCATTCTCGCCCTCCCTGCCCACCTACACCTCTCCTACCCACTTCGCTTTCATCCCTAATGAGTAGCTTCTTCCACTCTTTTTCTAAGACATGTTTATTGTAGTATGTAAATTGTTTCCAAAGTTTTGATCTCAGGGACTGTCTAAGATTCTAGTTGTCTCTTGAGCCCATAACTGTTGAGAAGAAAGCTTACTGCTCACCTTGGATTACTAGAAAGTAAGGATATCAGACAGGTTGGGGGATGGGTCTCGTTTGTTGTTCTCACATCATTGCCTGATATATTTGCTCAGGAGACAGATGAACACGTTGGGGTGAACAAAGTATGGACTCTCAGCCTCTGGACTACACGTCTGGGAACCCAGGTGGATTTCCTAATATGGCAACAGTCTGAGGCTGATTTGCATTTGCAGAATTCTACTTCAAATGATCTTCCCATAAAGAATTCCTAGGAATTTTCTGGCCTGTCTCTGAATACAGCTTCATCAAAAATCTAGTACAAGGTCAGGTTTTGCTGTATCTTTTTTCATTGTGATGAAGTTGTATAAAGGGGAAAAAATATTTCTAGGACTTAAAATATACACTGGCAATATTGTTGATTGAGATCAGTTTTATTCTTGGGAAACAGACCCCTCTAAAGCCTGCCTCTGGGCTCCCTCTTGGGCTAAAGCATGAAGGAGTTTACACATTCTATCTATCACTGGGGGACAGCTGATTAGGACCACATGGCGAGAGTTTATAGAGAAGAATAACTTAACTCTTATCCATTTTCCTTTCTAAGAAGATGAAAATTTGATGGAAGACATTTTTGATATCTTTAAGCCCTGCCATTTTACATTTCCTGTCTAGAAACATTTTTGTCTTTAGACACCAAGGAATTTTGACACTAAGAATATTTACACATGATTGGGGCAGATCACATGTGATTGTATTTGTTGACAGAGATGTGTTACATCTTTCTCCTTAGCCCCAGACCCTGTGTTCACCTGGCACATTCCTAGGAATTTCTTCCTTAGCATTTGGTGGTACCTTCCAAATATTTAAGTCATTCCTTCATGGGAAAAAAAACATTTCCTGACAGTCCCTAGGCTCCATCCCAACAAATTTTGGCATGCTAGTTTTCTATAGCGATATTATAAAGTTTTGCTGGC